GTCTCAATACTTAATTTGTCCAGACTAGCCTCAAACTCAGGGTCCTCCTATTTTGCCTCCCAAGTAGCTGGAAACAGGCGTGTACCACACCATTTTGTTGTTGCTCATGGGGCTTTAACTGAAGGCGTTAGTGCTGTCTCTGAGGTTTTTCACTCAAGGCTAGTGCTCTATCACTTTGAGCCACAATGCTACTTCTGATTTTCTGGAGGTTTAATTGCAGATAAAGAGTTTCTTGGACTTTCCTGCCTGGTCTGGCTTCAAATCTCGATTCTCAGATCTCAGCATCCTGAGTAGCTAGAATTACAGGCATGAGCTACCAGTGCCTGACTTTACTAGGCAGTTCTTAACTCTCTTCTCCTCTGCTTGTTTGTAGCATAAGGAAACTGTGAACATTAGATATTTATGTTCTCTCAGTTTCCCTTGTAGCTAAGTAGTCCATGATCCAAGATGGAACAATAAGGTATGTAATCCTAGCTACTCAAGAGGCTGAGATCTGAGGATTGCAGTTCAAAACCAGCCTGGGCAGGAAAGTCTTTGAGACTCTTATCTCTAATAAACCACCAGAAAACTAGAAGTTGTGCAGTGGCTCAAGTGGTAGAACGCTCGGCTTGGGCTGAAGAGCTGAGGGACAGAGCCCAGGCCCAGAGTTCAGGCCCCACGACTGACCAAAAAAAGCTATTTAGTTTAAATATGCATTGTATAAAAGAAATCAGACTTCTTTGCTAACAGTGTCTCTTTCACAATTAGAAAGTAAAAAAGCAACTAAAATTCACTTAATCATTTTGTAGACCATTTCTAAGAGTTAAATTTAAAAGAAAGATAATTTTTAACTAATAAAAACAGGCTCTGAGTTCAAACCCTAGTACTAGCGCATGTGTGCACGCAAACACACACACACACACACACACACACACACACACACACACACACACAGCTTTTCAGCAAAACTAGATTATTTCCCTTTAAGTAAAAGTACTCTTCCAGCTTTGCTTCACTGTCCCTTTCCCATAGCTGGCATGCCCTTACCATGACTGAGAAAGGCTATCAAGTAACAATGTATTTGGTAACTGGAAATGTCAGCTTTCCTTTGTTTTTATTCTGCTGCACTTAACATTAAGCAACTGCCACAAGAATGGACCCAAGAGAGTTCAACTAACTGAACCATGGTGACTAGCACTCAAGTGAATTCATTATGTTTTTGATTAGTTTGCTTGAATATGAATTAACTTAAAATATTAGGAAAAATAATTCCTGAGAATATGCATACATAGTCACACCAGTATTCAATTTCCAGTGATGGAAAGAAAATAATCCACAAGAGCATCTCCTAATTGCTAAACTTGGGTTGGTGAACTTCTTCTATAAGCCAGATAGCAAATATTTTGGATCTGTAGCTCTGTTCAACTCTGGAAAAGCAACCACAGACAACAGCTAAGAAAATGAGCATGACTATATCTAATAGTATCTAATACAGCTTTATTTGTGAACAGTGTTTTTTATTTTTTTTTTGGAGGGTGGAAGATGAGACTGGTACCTGGGTTTGAAATAAGTTTCAAGCTCACCTGGCTTGTTTTCTTGGCTGGCATTCTATCATTTTAGTCATGCTTCGAGTCAGGCTTTTTGCTGTTTTGTTTTGTTTTTTGTCGGTCATGTGGCCTGAACTCTGGGCCTGGGCACTGTCCCAGCTTAAGGCTAGCACTCTACCACTTGAGCCACAGCGCCACTTCTGGCTTTTTCTGCTTATGTGGTGCTGAGGATGCCCAGGCTCTGTTTTCAAGCCCCACAACCAACAAAAAAATAAAATGAAAATGTAAAAAAGCTAGGCCATATGTGGTAGTGTAAACCTGTAATGCCAGCTACTCAGGAGGTGGAGGTGGGAGGAACGCAGACAGAGGTTGGCCTGAGTAAACATGCAAGATCTTGTCTAAAGCAGACTGAAAAAAAAAAAAATGGTTAGGGGATATGAGTAAAGTGATAGAGTACTTGCCTAGCAACATGAAGCCTTGAGTTGAATCCCTAGTGCCACCAAAAATCAAACTAAAGAAGTAAAAAAAAGGAAAAGAAAAAAAAAATTAAAAGAAAAAAAGTGGGCTGGGAAGGTGGCTCAGTGGTAGAGCGCTTGCCTCACAGGCATGAGGCCCTGGGTTCGATTCCTCAGCACCACATAAACAGAAAAAACCTGAAGTGGTGCTGTGGCTCAAATGGTAGAGAGCGAGCCTTGAGCTGAAGAGTTGAGGGACAGCGCCCAGGCCCAGAGTTCAAAACTCCACAACTGACAAAGAAAGAAAAAAAAAAAAGAAAAAAGAAAGCTGGGCACTGGTGGCTCATGCCTGTAATCCTAGCTACTCAGGTAGCTAAGATCTGAGGATCTTGGTTCAAAGCCAGCCCAGGCAGGAAAGTCCGTGAGACTCTTATCTCCAATTAACTACCAGAAAACCAGAAGTGGCACTGTGGCTCAAATGGTAGGCACTAGCTTTGAGCTGAAAAGCTCAGGGTCAGTGCCCAGACCCAGAATTCAAGCCTCACAACCAAAAAAAAAAGTGTTTGTTTTTTTTTTAAAAGCCCTTCATGTTTTGATTTTTTTTTGAGTGGTAGAGGAATTTTAAACCCAGAGCTTGGTTTGCTAGGCAGATGCTCTACCTCCTTCTCTTTTTGCTATCTCTTTTAGTACTAGTTATTTTTGAGATAAGATCGTGCTTTTTGCCTGGGCTGGCTTGGATCACAATCCTATTTATGTTTTCCTCTGTAGCTTAGATGAAAAAAAAGTCTACTGAACTTTGCAAGGCGGAGGGGGGCGAGAATGAGGGGAAGCAGTGGGGCCTGGGCTGGCTCAGGCTGCAGTTTTCCAGATTGTCTAAGTAGCTGGAGATTAAAGGCACCCACACAGTCTCAGTGATGGGGTTAAGTGATTCTCATTTATTTGTTGATATAATGACTCAATGTTTAATAATTTTCTCTTATTCTTCAGTTAATGGTCATGGCTATGCTTTATACTGAGAATACAAATAATAAAAAGAAGTGGTTGTTATGTTCTATGCTGAACATAGATGGCTCATGCCTATAATGCTAGCTACTCAGAAAGCTGAGATCTAAGGATGCCTGTTCCATGTCAGCCCAAGAAAGTCCAAGAGACTCTTACCTCCAAAAAGCTGAAAGTGGAGCTATAGCTCAATGGTAGGGTATTAGCCTTGAACAGAAAAGATCAGGGATAGCTCCAGACCCTGAGTTCAAGTCCTGGGACTGGCACACAAGAAAACCAAAACCAAAACAAAATAGCTGAGCACTGGTGGCTCACTCCTGTAATCTCCTAGCTGCTCAGGAGGCTGAGATCTGAGGATCAAGGTTTGAAGACAGCCAGGCAGAAAAGTCCATGAGATTCTTATCTCTAATTTAGCACCAAAAAGCCAGAAGTGAAGCTGTGGTTCAAGTGGTAGAGCACCAGCCATGAGCAAAAGAGCTCAGAGTCAGTTCCTGAGTTCAAGCCCAAGGACCAGAATAATAAATAAATAAATGAATAACATAGAAAGTGATCCTTTTCTTTCTTTTGGTGCAGATCCATGATGGGGACTCAAACTGGACAGCAGCTGCTTTCACTCATTGGCTACTAGTGCACCAACTGAGTCATGCCTCCAATCCCTAAAGTGATCTTTTAATGGGAAAAATTCAGCATGTAAGAACAAACTAGAAAAAAATCACTAAACTTAAGAAAAAAGTTACTTGTAGGAAGGGGAAATTTACTATGTCTGCATTCTTGATTATTTTATATTATATTCAATGTATTATTTTATAATATATTCATAATTATTTTATATTATTTTTATAAAGTAGTTGTACAGAGGCTTAATTTTGAGTACACTGTTCTCTTCTTCTTTCCTCTTCGGAACCCTACCCGCAAGTTATGTAGTTCAATTTTTACATAATGTACACTGAATATAGTAACTGAATTTGTTCACTCTTCCTCCCTCCAGTATAAATAATATATAATACATTAATAATTAGTATCATTTATCATTATTATTAAATTATTAGTTATTTTAAAACACAACATGAAAAGGCTAGAGCCCTTTTATTTGGAATTAAAACACAAAGTCACTAAATGCATCATGAATTGATTGTTTTTAAAGAATACAGTAGAAGTATATACTAGTGATAATGACAGCAGTTCATGCTGTCTCTGATGGTAGATTAAAGAAAGATCAGACGACTTCTGGTCATCTGACATAACTGGGTCAGCCAAAAATAATCCACTGGGTACTTCAGAGAGTATAAAGAGAGTGAGTAAGGAGTGTTCAAGTTGGACAAGGGATAGGGAAGACAACACTCAAGAGTCATTTCCTCAGGAGAGTGTTAGGCCTTCACTGAAGGAACTGACCTCATCTGCCTGAATTACTACAATCAAAGTGACTTGCGTGGAGGAAAACTCCAAAAACTCCCTGACCTCATCTGCCTGAATTACTACAATCAAAGTGACTTGCGTGGAGGAAACGCCCTCTGCAAATGTCTTTCCCCTGCCCATAAAAGCAACTAGATCACCAGAAGGAGCAAAGCAAGAACTATGCCAATTCTAGACCAGAATCCAACATTCATTTAAATTAGCATTAAGAATTTTAAATATTAAAATCAAAATTTAAAATACATAAAAATACATAACTTATGCCAGCTGGCACCAGTGGCTTACGCCTGTAATCCTAGCTATTCAGAAGGCAGAGATCTGAGTATCTCAGTCTAAAGCCAGCCTGGGCAGGAAAGTTCACAACTCTTATCTTCAATTAGCCACCAAAAGCCAGAAGTACAGTTGTGGCTCAAGTGGTAGAGTGCTAGCCTTGAACAAAAAGCTTGGGGACAGTGTCCAGCTCCTGAGTTCAAACCCAGTATGAGCACACAAAAACAAAAACCACAGGTTACCCCAATTCCCACACCTTAGAAGAGCTAAATACCAGGTACCAGTCATATGTACATCACATGAGGTAGAGTTTAATAAAGAATTAATCGAAACTTACTGAAGGTCTTACAGATGTCTGACACAGCTTTGAAGACTCTATCAGAGAAGTTCACTTTCACCTTTACATACTTCATGTTGGGAAGCTGCAGGCGGAGCAGTTTGTGCTGTGGGGTGAACTGAAGCTTGGCGTCTGCCTGGATGCCATACTTATCCAATGTCCAATGAGTCTTAAGCAGCCAAGTTCTCTTCTTTTCCCACCACAGAGCATGGTCAGACCAATCTTTTTTTACATCTACAGAAAGAAAACAATATAAAGAAGCAAAACACTTAAGAATAGAAAACTAGGTATTTAATGTAAACAACACAGTAAACTTAACTAGGTATTTAATATAAATAACACACAGTAATGCTGAGAAAAAAACCTTGTCTGTCTTAGAAAGCAAGTATACATGGTAGCTCAGAGTGAATACTCAGGATGGTAGACAAATAGAACCCTGGGGCTAGAACAGGAGGATTAATAAAGAAAGGGATTGGTGAGTAAAAGCTCAGCTTTCAAGCATTCTCAAACAGGTAGAAAGGCTGTGGTATATAAGGTGCAGATATATATTTAGGTGCAGGAAACTGAGAATCAAAATGAACAAGCTCCAACATTGTAGGTGCAGAAGAGCAGCCTAGAAATAGCAAAGTTCACAGGCAGTATCTTAAACTACGAGAGTATGCTAAAAGTAAACCACATGGAAGAAACATACCATGAGTAGACTTTCATATCCCTATGCATTAAAAAAATATTTTATCATAATATTAGAAAGATACCTGTTAACTTCAGCCCTGTTCACAATAGCCAAATGATGGAATCAGCTGATGTACCCGACCAACAAAAATAAAAATAGTAGTAGTAGTAATGTGTTTTAACAAGTAATCACTTGTGATTATAACACAATACTGAAATTCAGTATTTCTGCCTGTCTTAACTACAATCTTCTTCCCTACATTTCATCCAGTCATTTATGCAAATTTTAGTATCAACATCAACATTAAGTAAACTACTTAATTTTCCAGAGGCTGAAAGGGGGGAAAGAACTGTAATACTAATAAAACTGTCTGAACTGTGCTCCCATGCGTGGCTCATGCCTGTAATCCTAGCTACTTAGGATCTGTGGATTGTGGTTCGAAGCCAGCCAGGGCAGAAAAGTCCATGAAACTCTTACCGCCAATTAACCACAGGAAAAGCTGGAAGTGGCGCTGTGGTTCAAATGGTATAGTGCTAGCCTTTAGCAATTACACAGTGCTCAGGCCCAAAGTTTAAGCCCCAGGACCTTCCTAGTATTCCCAAGGCTGAGATATAAGTATCTGGGTTTAAAGGCAGCCTGGTGTCTGTGAGATTCTCATCTCCAATTAACCACCAAAAAGCTGGAAATGGAGCTGTGATACAAGTGACAGAGTACTAGTCTTAAGTGAAAAAACTAAAGGACAGCATCCAGACTTTAAGTTAAAGCTTCAGCCCAGCACCGGTGGCTCATACCTGTAATCCTAGCTACTCAGGAGGCTGAGATCTGAGGACTGCAGTTCAAAGCCAGCCAGGCAGGAAAGCCGATGAGACTCTTATTTCTAATAAGCCACTCAGAAAACCAGAAGAGACACTGTGACTCAAATGGTAGAGTGCTAGCCTTGAGCTGACGAGCTGAGGGACAGCACTCAGGCCCAGAGTTCAAGCCCCATAACCGACAAAAACAAACAAACAAAAACAAAACAAAACAAAAGCTCCAACACTGGCATGCATGCAAACATCAGTTTGGGTCCCAAAATACTAAGTTTTATCATTTGGGTTTCCCCAAAGGGCAACACTGAGATGAGAACTTGGATATCTGTAGCTTATTTCAAGGGCACACCGTAACCAGAAAAGCATGTGTGAGAAACACTGGAGTGAGACCCTGGAGGCAGAAAGGTAACTAAGGGTTCATTAACTGTTGGGAGACAAGTGAAGCTGGTCCTGAGGAACCAGGTAGAACATGTCTTAAAACTGACCTGTGAAGCAAAGAGAAGGCAGGTTAAAGGTTGCTCTTGGGGCTATTCAGTTGCTAGCTCTCCCTCTCTGGCACACACGGGCTCCGGTAATGAGACACAGCAAGTAAGGACAAAAATCTGTTACACATTAGGAATCTGCCTCTCTTAACTGTGGGGTGGGTGAGGCTCAGCAGATGGTTAAAGGCCTGGAAGAAGTGCTGCTGCTTTTATAGCAGTAGCGGGGCAGAAACAATGCTGTAAAGTCACAAGGAACACACTCAAAACAATGTGGTCAGCCCAGCAAGAGATATAAACATAAAGGCAAAAACCTAATTCTGATAAGGAGCTATGTAACATAAGTTACAGATAAGTTTTGACAAAGAAGCAATGTGTTGCCAACCAGATTAAAGTTACAGTCTACATTCTAAAAGGACTCCAAGTCTAAATTATACTCAAGTCAAAACTACATCAACGGATGTCATTACTGTAAGCTGAGGGGTAGCAAACTATTAACTGCTTTCTACCTCAGGGTGGTTTTCATATTTTTCATATTTTTAAAATTCAAATTTGTGTCCATAAGTGATGAGTTTTATGGAGTATCTGTCCAGATACTGGCTGGCTATAATTGCTTCCACGGTTGTATGACAACATAGGTGTGTACCTGATGGAGACTATGGCCCTCAATACTCCAAACACCATACTGATTCTAGAGTTTTACATAAAACTTTCCCTGCTATAAGCAATGCCATTCTGGACCTACTCAGATAATGATACAATAATATTGCAACTTTCTACTAATTAGGCATTAAACCGTGTCCTCATAAAGAAACTTTTCTGATGTCCGTCTTTGCCCTATTCCCCATCTCACATCAAATGTGTAATGTGCCCAGGTATTAGCAAGGCTTGTGGGAGAGGAAAACCCAGTTAGCATGTTTATGAATCACAAAAGGATCTTTCCCTTTAAAGCTGACTCTTCTCATCTATTCTACCTCAAGTTTTTCATTAAAGGAGCAGCGAATGCACCTATGTCCACCATCTTGTCTAGTAAGCTAGACCAGATGTACCAGGTGGTTTGAGTGGTGTTTACCACAGAAGGGAAGAGGCTCTGACTGGCTGGCAACAGTACTAAGATGACAAAAAAAAACAGAGGCTAACAGTACAGGAAAGAAAAATTACACCAAACAGGATACCAGAAGAAAAAGAATCAGAAGTATATCTCCTAATGTCAAGAAACAGAAACAAAAAAATAAGCATTCTGGCAGCAAAGTAGAGGATAAGAGTGGGAGTTTTTGACATGTTAAGTGGTAGACGTTTTGGTGGCATTCTTTTCTTTTTTAATTTTTTTTGGGGGGTCCGGTCGTGGGGCCTGAACTCAGGGCCTGGGCGCTGTCCCTCAGCTCTTCAGCTCAAGGCTAGCACTCTACCACTTGAGCCACAGTGCCACTTCTGGATTTTTTTCTTTTTGCTTATGTGGTGCTGAGGAATTGAACCCAGGGCCTCAGGCATGCAAGGCAAGTGCTCTACCACTGAGCCACCTTCCCAGCCCCTTGGTGGCATTCTTTTAAGATTCCACATACTACACCAACCCCATCAACATTACTTATAAAGTTATTACTACTATAGAATATTAGCATTAGACTAATTGGGCTTTAAGCAGGGGTGACTTGTGTTTCAAAATAATCACTGAAGACCACACTCCAGTGAATCACGCCTGTAATCCTAGCTAGTCAGATGGGAGTCAGACCAGCTGGAGCAGAAATGTCCTTGGGACTCCATCTCCAAAATAATCAATGAAAAGCTGGGACATAGGTGTGGCTCAAATGGTAGAGCTCCTGCCAGCAAGGCAAGCCAACAGAGCCCCGAGATCAAAATCCAATCCCAGAAAAAGAAAACCATAGTATAGTATAGTATAGTATAGTAACACAGAATGCCAACATGAATGTGAGACTAGGAACCATGCCTACCTGAAACACAATGGCTGCCCAGTGAGGAAGTATAAAGAGGAATACTGGCAGCTTTTCTATAATAAGGCACAGAAGGATGGATACCATATGGACAGAAAGGAGATGGCAGACTCAAGGAATATTTTTGGTTTTTCTTTTTAAAAGAGAAAACTCCTCCAACATTAACAATCATCGGAATAATTCCATAAAGCTCCAATCACACAGTATCTCCACAAGAAGTCCCACAAGTGGCTTTCCTTAGGATACCCTAGACTATATTCCATTCTATCCACCAGTAGCAAAAAACCCCGAGAAAAGTGATCATACACCAATCGAGAAGCAACTGCCTAGGTACATTTAAGAGCCAACTGCTAATCAAAAAACATTTAACTGCACCACCACTGGGAGAGAAGTAGAAGGTTGTCTTAAGGCAAGAGTTCTTCCCCGCCCCCCCCCCCCCCCCCCCCGCCTTGGCACCCCCCCCTTGGGGCTTGAACTCAAAGCCTGAGAACTGTTCCTGAACTTTTTCCCCCCCTGAAGGCTAGCATTCTTCCAGTAAAGCCACAACTCTACTTCCAGCTTTTTAGAGATAAGAATCTCATGGACTTTCCTGCCTAGGCAGGCTTTGAACCTTGTTCCTTATATCTTCCTGAGATGCTAGGATTACAGGTGTGAGCCACTAGTGCCTGGCAATGCAAGACTCCATTAAAGGACTCAAGCTGTCTAGTATTTCACAGTATAGCTTATTTCTTTTTCTTTTAATTTTATTTATTTTATTTTATTTGTGAAGATACTGTACAGAGGGGTTACAATTACATGGGCAGGATAATGCATACATTTCTTACCAAGCATTGCAGCCTCCTCCTTTTGAGTATAGCTTATTTCTACTGGCACAAGTTAAGCCATAGGTACAGAAAGATTTCTGATATCAATACATACTTAAATATTCCTTTATTTAAAGAGCAGAAGCAATCAAAAACATTATGATGACTTTAAAAGGAAAGTGGATTCCACAAGTAAATAAAAATAGATAACTACAACTTAACGCAATTTCCCCCATCCTATTAAACAGCATAAACAGCAGCCCAGTTGCTCAGGAACCTAGGTCATAGATTTCCCCCACTTTTATCAATAAGCTGCCTCAATTCCTCTTCCACCATGTTCCACTGGCATCCTCACACTGCCAGCCTCTGTACTGACCACGGCAATAGCCTCCTGAACTGCCTTGGTTCCACAGCATTTTACCCAATAGTCAGAGTGCCTTGGTCAGCACTTTTATGCCAGTTCCTGTGAAGGCCAAATTCTTTTCAACAGCTTCCAAGTGCATTTAAAGCAAATCCAAATG